GAGAGCGTGAGGGAAATGTGAAAGAGAAGGACACCATTGCAGGCCATGTGTGGTCCGAGCCATGCGTGCTTGCTTGCTCAAGGCTATCACTTGTGGAGGGGAGAGAGAGAGAGAGAGAGGGAGGGAAAGAGATAGACAGACAGACAGACAGACAGACAGACAGACAGACAGACAGACAGACAGACAGCCAGACAAATAGAGAGAGAGAGAGGAAGAGAAAGAACGAGAGATAGAGAGACAGAGGGGGTAGGAGGGAGAATAAAGGAGGGAAAAGAAAGGAGGGAGGAAAGATAGGAGGAGGAGGAGAAGGAGGAGGAGGAGGAGGAGGAGGGAGGAGGAGGAGGAGGAGGAGGAGGAGGAGGAGGAGGAGGAGGAGGAGGAGAAAGAGCAGGAGATGGGGGGTCATAAGATTCACACCAAAGTGATCCAAAAACCTTTCAATTCGTGCACAGGTAAAAAAAAAAGCTAGTACTAGCACCCGACCCCGTTTACCTGCGTGAGACAAGGCAGAGAGAAGATGAAGGCTGAGCTAATGATGACGAGAGTGAGGCACTCCCTGAAGTATCTATACTTGAGTAGACACGACAGCTCATCCCGAAGCCCTGTCAGAGGGGACTCCAGTCCTCCAAACTGTAAGGAAAGCAGTAGGAACATTATTGAAATTTAAATGATAAAGTCCTTCTTTTTTGTTCTGTCTTTGTAAAGGAAGTCATTAATAATTGTTCATCAACTGGTTTTTAAAAAAAGCTCTTAGAAGAATTAATTATAACTTAGCAGTAATCCGAACTGTCGTAATAGGTCAGCAGAAGCAATCAATGGAATAAAAGGTCAGATGCTGTGAAAAATAATTTCTCATGATCTCGTCTGTTTTTTCTGGGGGGGGGTAGGCTGAAGTTTACTATTGCTATCATAAAAGTCTTGCAACGTAATAACGACTGAGTGAAGAATACAAAAACAAATAGAAGCATTAAGGTATTTATAAACGTCTGTTGTACTTCGGTTAGTTGGGAAACCTTCATACTTCATGGCTCCAAGGCCACTACATCTCGCTCCTATAGTGCATGGACGTAAAGGAGGAGATACCGCCTCAACCCTATCCGTACGTCGTGTTTTACTATCGTAGCCATACGACGTGGAAAACTCTGTGCCACCACCTTCTAAAGAGGAAATTTACTCGTTAACCCGACCCGTACGCTTTGCATAGCAGTCTGTGAAAATGATTGTTTGAGAAATACTGAAAGTTTCAAAGAGATCTTCGCACTTAATGTATTCTAAAATGTGAAGAATTAAACCCCGGGGGTACAAAATGACCCTAGGGCGTACGGATAGGGTTAAATAAAGCGAAACAGTACTCACGGTGAGGAGAAGAGGGCAAATGAACTTCCAACACACTCTCCAGAACATACTGGGACTTTCACCTGTCATCTTCTCTACGTCAGCGCAGAACTGGGGCATGCCTGGGAGGAATACATTAGGAAAGTCAAATTTATAGCTTTTTAAATTTAAAATTGGATGTTTTAGTAGGTTTATGACAGTTTTTTAAGCCTAAAAAAATTTGGATTTCTAATAGGACATGCATGTTTATTTCTAACTACAGTCGAACATGCTCTAACAACCACCTGCCTAAGAAACTCCCACGCGCAAATGGCCACTTCCACCTTTCTCTTTGCCTTTTTGTTTTGTTTTATGATGACACTGTCCAAAAGACCAGTTGCTTAAGATACCATATTTTCTCCTCTACAATGGTGGGCATCTTGGACAATGTCGATCGTATTTGTTATAACGTTAACTTGTAACCTGCCGTACTTACCGTAGAACCAAGAGACAGCGACCACCTCACACAGAACCACAAACACAATGGAAGTTCCTGCTGCGAACGTATCCAATATGGTGAACACGTACATCCCACCCTGGAGAGAAGCAAGGATGGTAGAGACATAGCAGGTCACAGTCTATACTGTAACTCTCTCAGTTATCATTGTGAGGCATCGTGGGCAAATCAGGCGCTCGTCAAAATAATGAAATTGGAGAAACACGCTTTCTGCGCCAGTTTAGCAATTTTTATCGATTTTTGTTTTTGTGTGTGCTCAATACCTTTTATGTCCTCATAAAAACATGTTTCCATGTGAACTTTACTAAAAAAAAACGTTGAAAAAAAGAACAAAATATGCACATTTTCAGTTTTTAAAGGCTCTCAAGCTAAGGACGTTATCATTATTTGGAGACATTTTTTATAACTAATTTTAACTTTCAAATCAGGTGACCCACACTTCCTTCAATTACGAATATCTCGACGTCTATTCAAGATAGTTGGATATTTTTTTTGCCAAAAGGAAGGCAAATGAACCGGCTTTTCAATGATACCAATAACTCCATGTGCCCGAAAATTGACGAGCGCCTGATTCCACCACGTTGTGAAACAAATTACAAATTCTTCACTGCTGTGTAGAGGTATGGCAGCTTGTGTTCTCCAAAACAGGATCTCTGGTTTGTTTTTTTCCTTTGGGTTTATAGGGGAATTTTTAGGAGAATCATTACGACTTGTGCAGTTGTTTATTCTTAAATAAGCTGAACTTTGTTGTGGCTTTGTTGTTTAAAACTCACTTGAATTAACATTTTATTATTGTGAATAATTGTTGAATGATGCTTCCTGGTAATACGCGAGTTAATCTATAATGTATTGTGATAAAGGCAGCCCAACAGTGTAAATAATAATATACACGTGGCATGCTATCAACATCATGCATGTATATGCAGTGTGTATGCCTATTGGTGCCTGCATACATGTTTAATCTGACACAATACAAACGTATTAGGCATTTGACATAGTAATAAAGGGACCAGAAATCGTTGTATAGAAGTCTGTGTATTATGCGTGTGTATGTGTAAGTGTGTGTGTGTGTGTGTGTGTGTGTGTGTGTGTGTGTGTGTGTGTGTGTGTGTGTGTGTGTGTGTGTGTGTGTGTGTGAAAGAGAAAGAAAGAGAGATAGAGAGAAAGAAAGAAAGAACGAAAGAGAGAGTGAAGAGAGAGAGCGGAGGAGGATGAGGAGAAGGAGGAGGAGGAGGAGGAGGAGGAGGAGGAGGAGGAGGAGGAGGAGGAGGAGGAGGAGGAGGAGGAGGAGGAGGAGGAGGAGGAGAATGAGCAGGAGATGGGGGGTCATAAGATTCACACCAAAGTGATCCAAAAACCTTTCAATTCGTGCACAGGTAAAAAAAAAAGCTAGTACTAGCACCCGACCCCGTTTACCTGCGTGAGACAAGGCAGAGAGAAGATGAAGGCTGAGCTAATGATGACGAGAGTGAGGCACTCCCTGAAGTATCTATACTTGAGTAGACACGACAGCTCATCCCGAAGCCCTGTCAGAGGGGACTCCAGTCCTCCAAACTGTAAGGAAAGCAGTAGGAACATTATTGAAATTTAAATGATAAAGTCCTTCTTTTTTGTTCTGTCTTTGTAAAGGAAGTCATTAATAATTGTTCATCAACTGGTTTTTAAAAAAAGCTCTTAGAAGAATTAATTATAACTTAGCAGTAATCCGAACTGTCGTAATAGGTCAGCAGAAGCAATCAATGGAATAAAAGGTCAGATGCTGTGAAAAATAATTTCTCATGATCTCGTCTGTTTTTTCTGGGGGGGGGGGGGGGGAGTTCTTCACCAGCAACACCATCATCATCATCATCATCATCATCATCATCATCATCATCATCATCATCATCATCATCATCATCATCATCATCATCATCATCATCAACAAAAACAACAACAACAAATCCACTAGAAAGAAAACCCAGCAGCGACAGAAAAGAACATTACTCTTGATAACCTCGAAACGATGCCTCAATCTTTTAATTCAGGCTCATGTAAGAGAATTAAAAGTTAAAACTAAAATATCGAATAATACCCCACAAAGTTCTGTTGTGTTTAGATTTAAACCGCTACGTTCTTTAAACGTTTAAAAGGTGGGTGGTTGGCTGGTGCTCTAGTGTGGTTAGCTTCTTCTTTCCTATCGAACATCTATCGCCCTTATTTCCCCTTCTTCTTTTTTATGTTTGTTACTCTCTTGTAACATCTCTAATCTTCTGGCGCTCATATGACCTTATGCAGTTGCGAGCGCCGTAAAACCTCTACTAAAACTAAAACGTTAAAAGCGACTTCTGTATTCAAACAGTAGAAATCCTTGACCTTACCGCACTGTCCAGCCCGAGGGCCAACAGCATGAAGAAGAATATGACGGACCATCCTACAGAGCCGGGGAGAGTGGCGATTGCTTCAGGGTAGACGATGAAGACAAGGCCTGGGCCTGAGGACGGGAAAACATGGCGTGTGTTATACAAAGGGTGCAGGAGGTTTGAAGGGAGAGAGAGAAAAGGAGTTAGAGAGAGAGAGAGAGAGAGAGAGAGAGAGAGAGAGAGAGAGAGAGAGAGAGAGAGAGAGAGATATGGAGAGAGGTGAAGAAGGGTTGATGTGACTGCTGGTAATCAAACAGAAGGATATACAAAAGACGAGAAAGAGGGAGACAGCAAGAGGGAGGGGGGGGGGGCGAGACAGAGGAAGAGAGAGACAGATAGATAGATAGATAGATAGATAGATAGATAGATAGATAGATAGATAGATAGATAGATAGATAGATAGATAGATAGATAGATAGATAGATAGATAGGCAGAGACAGGGGCAGAGAGAGACAGAGAGACAGAGAGGCAAGACAAAGACGAACTTTTATAATATCATAATGATTATTCCGTAGACTCTTACTACACCACTCATTCCCTCACCCTCAGTAGCCACGTCCTTGATGTGTTTGTGAGTTTTGAGCGACATATAACCCAGGTAGGAGAAGATGACAAAGCCGCTGAACAGACTGGTGAAGGAGTTGACGATCACTGTAATGATGCAGTCTCTGAGGACAGACATAATGTGAAAAAGATAAATAATGTTTTGTTATGGGAAGGTTTGCACTTGACCTCTTCACTGCTGGGTAGACGTAGGTTCTGGCTTGTATTCTCCACTCGTATTGTTTCATCTGGTTGACACATGTTTTAGTTGTTTTAGTTACAGCTTGTGATTTTGCTTATTCTGAAACCATTCTCTGAGTTTAAATATTCCTTGAATTAACATTTAACCTTCTAGGTACAGATGTTGATGGAAATTTTTCAGCAGTGAAGGGGTTAACAGGCAAAAATAATGTGTGGTTCTCGCAAAATATTATGTGACAACGAGTCATAAAAGTAGTCATTAATGTCTATGTTGCGATTAAATGAACGCGGTCTTGTCTGCAAGTTCACTGTAGTGTCTCCTACTTCTTTTTTTTCGGCCAGAGGGGAGGGTATATTTTATTGTATTTCATTTGTTATAGTTATGACTAATCTCAAATAAAAGCCAATACTGTTGGATTGAATTTAAAAAATTAAGATACCTTGATATGGACAACAAGAAATAGTTTCTGTGAATCCTTACTAGATATAGAAAATGGAGGAGCAAAATAAGCGATTCATATAATGGGAGGAATAAAGGTATTATAATTTACTGATGTCTATGACAAGAAAGACATTTCTTCAGCACAATTACTAAACACTTTCAGACGTACCTCCTAAATTGGTCGCTTGCAACTTTTATTGCTCACAAACCAGAAAGTATCACAGTAAAGTTATTACACATCATCTCAGCACTTTTTACAAAAACAAGCCGTGCAGAACTGGGAGAAAGATACTAGTAAAAAGTAAAGTTGTTCCCTCATCCGATCCGGACATTGGGGATTGCCTTGATAGTGAGACAACTTCCCGGGCCTTCGGCATATTATTGTGGTAGGATGGCCAGTTCCATTCCACGCCGCCTTTACTTCTCGAACTCGAAGTCAGGAACCCATTACTGTTCGAGGCTCGAACTCGGACTTTCCGCTTTGAAGACGAGCGCACTAATCGCCCCGCCACCGCACCACAGTAAAACAGTGAAATACATTAATTATTATACTCGCACCGTGGAGATACGTGAGACTCACCTCTTGCAGTTGTTGTGGAATTTGTTGTAGCTGGCATAGGCAATGTGGGTTCCGAATCCAGAGCCCACAGAGAAGAATATCTGCACTGCGGCGTCAATCCAAACCTGTCCAAGGGGAACAAACCCAGTCAAACTGATGTTGATGTTTTTAATTCAGTTTTATATGATCAGTTATTTCTCCTTAAGAGTAGTCCCTTCCTCCCACCCCCATCCGCCGCTACCCACCCTCTTTTGCCCCTATTATCATTATCATCTTCATACTACTCCTCCTCTTCTACTCATCACCAGTATCGTTTAATCACTGGTTTTTCCAGAAAGTTGTATATCAATACTCGCTACCACCAAGAGACACCCCTCCCCTCAAAAACCCACACAACAACCCACGTACACACAGAGACTCTCTCTCTCTCTCTCTCTCTCTCTCTCTCTCTCTCTCTCTCTCTCTCTATCAACCTCCCTCTCTCTCTCTTTCTATCCCCCTCTTTGTCTTTTAATTCAGTTTTATATGATCAGTTATTTCTCCTTAAGAGTAGTCCCTTCCTCCCACCCCCATCCGCCGCTACCCACCCTCTTTTGCCCCTATTATCATTATCATCTTCATACTACTCCTCCTCTTCTACTCATCACCAGTATCGTTTAATCACTGGTTTTTCCAGAAAGTTGTATATCAATACTCGCTACCACCAAGAGACACCCCTCCCCTCAAAAACCCACACAACAACCCACGTACACACAGAGACTCTCTCTCTCTCTCTCTCTCTCTCTCTCTCTCTCTCTCTCTCTCTCTCTATCAACCTCCCTCTCTCTCTCTTTCTATCCCCCTCTTTGTCTCTGTATGTCTCTCTTGTGTCAGCTTCATCATAATTATTTCTGGGAAGGGGTGGGGGTTCCTACAATGGCGTATCGTGGGTACCGCAAGCTAAGCAAGTGCCGTCGTGGGCGCAATTTGAAGGAAAAGGCCACAGAAGCAACTATGTTTAAATGTGGGGGGAGTTAAAACGAAGATCTTTACACTGTACGAAAACGACAACGGAAGAAGAAGAATCAGTAGCTCTGAAACAGGGTTAAAAAGTCCCCTTTCAAGAGCATGACTTCGAAATTCAAAAACATCGAAATAGGCATCATCTGGAGTGAATTTGGCTCTTTTCAAAAGGAAAACAAAATTACTAGCATGATAAAAATGAGGCTAAAGAGAAAAGTCAGACTGAGAATAACTTAGAGAACTCAAATGGAGACTGGACAAGACCAGATAGCGTAGCATCCGAGCAGATAAATGAGCGTTGTGAAGCACTATCACCAAAGTGTGTTTGAGACCAGGCTCTTGTAGTGGAAATCCTAATTACAAAACGTCTTTTCTTCTGTCAAATTAGAATGTTTAGTTTCACATCTCTAAATGCGGGCACAATTATATGGATAGCACTACGCTACCCAAGAATTACAAAGTTCTATCTGCTCAGTACAAAGTTTTGAGAGATTTGACGTTAAAAACATTTGAGTTTCCCAA